ATTATTATTATTATTATTATTATTATCATCATCATCATCACTATCATTACCAGTGACAAGGAGCTGAGGCCCAGAGCAGTGAAGAAGGCTGTTGAGGTCACACAGCCTGGGCAGGCACAGCCCTGACTCTACGTCTCAGATCCTGCTACTGTCTCTCTCTCTAATCTCTGAATTGCTAGGAGCCGGGAACCCTCACTGCCTCTGCCCACATCTGCCTCCCTTGCCAGCCGCCCCAGGGAGACAGAGATTGGCTTGGGCCTGTCCTCCCAGCGCTCTGGGTGGGAGCTGACCGGCATTCCTCTCGCTGCCGCCGAAGCATCCTGTGCTCTCGTCCCCTGTGTGCTGGCTGGCCTGACAGCTGGGAGGCTGGGGTCAGGCTCTTCTCACACTCTGGGGCAGCTGAGGGCACTGGGCCCAGGCCAGAGGTGTGTGCTCTCATCGCATCTGGGTACAGCTCCCTCCAGCTGCTCCCTGGGCCACCTAGGCCTCAGTTTCCCCAGCAGGAAAAATGCAGGATTTGGCCAAAGGGATTTAGGAGGTGTGGGGGGTGGGACTCTTAAGTCAAATCCTGCCCGACCACTGGCCCTCTGGGGGACCTTGAGCAAGCCACTTTCCTCTTTGGGCCTTAGTTTCTTCATCTGTAAAATAGAAACAACGCTGGTGCTCCTCCCTCAGAAAGAGATGGTGAGAATTAAATCAGGCAAGGTCTGGAGGGTCTGGCGTGGAGTACAGTGTCAGTAACATGGGCTGCCCCCTAATAGTCACCTAATCTCCATCACCATCATCAGCTCGCCTGCTTGGACACGGGAACTGTCACTCCCCGCTCCCCTTTGGCGAAGAACATAACATATGGATGCATCTGGGTTCAAATTCTAGCTGTTCTTTCCTCTAACTGTGTGGCCTTGGGCAAGGTGCTATCCCCTCTGGGCCTCAGCGTCCTCATCTGTGAAATGAGGCAGGTCAACCTTGCCACACCGGGTTGCCAAGGGACAACAGATGCAAAGCGATGGCCTTCTTCTCGCCTCCGACCTCATCTCTGCCCACCCTCCCCCAAACCGTTGCCCCAGAAACCCGACCCTCTCCTCCTCCCTCCTGGCCAAACTCTGAATTCATGGCGAGCACTGAGGCCTCTGTTCTGAGGGGGCTCAGAGCAGCCTCAGGGCCCGTCCTCAGCCAGCTGTCCCTCCTTTCCCAGCTGCGCCCCATCCCCCCATCTGCATGGCTCAAGGTGGGGCGTGGGAAAGCGTACAAGAATGGTGCTGTGGCTTGCTGTGTGCCCTTGGCTAAGTGATGGCCCTTCTCTGAACCTGTTTTCCCAGCTCTGCAACAGAGGAGTGGGACAAGATCAAGGTTCTTAGCCTGGTCTGGACCCTGTGAAGTTGTCTGCAGAGGTCTGTGTATAGAGGAAAAGTCTATAGGTTTGACCCAATTTATGGAAATCCCCAGGCTCTGCCCTTAATCCCAACATTTAAGAAGCAAGGTGATTTCTGAGAGTCCTTTGAGAGTTTACGTCCAGGTCACGGGGAGGCTGCCTGGTGTTGCGGGACAAGCTGGGGACAGGGATCAGCCAGGCCTGGTTTAGGAGGGTAACTTAACCTCTCAAACCCTGTTTCACTTCTGGAAAATGCAGGTCATGCTTTCTCCCCATCCTGGGGCTGGGGTGTGAATCAGGCAAAGAGCCTGGGGCTGCGTCTTTGCCACTCCCTGTCCCCACCCTACCTCCTAGGTGCTAATGGCAGGGGCAGGGGAAGTCCTATGCGGGTGGGACGTGTGGGACACTGGGCTCACCTTCTTACAGAAGTGGTGGAGGTGGAGCAGGGTCTCCAGGTCGGTGCGTTGCCGCTCAGCCGCCATATAGAAGTGGGTCAGCTTAGCCTGGAAGGCCCGCTGGGTGAAGGAGAAGGCTACCAGCTCCGGAAGCTCCGTCCCTCCTGCCTCCCCAGACCCTCGGGCTGCGGCTCCCAGCTGGGCCGCCTCCTTGGACAGCTCCAGGCCATGGCGGTACTGGGCCTGAGCAGGGAGGGAGGGGGTGTCTACTCAGCTCACAGCTAGGCTGAGGTCTCCCCCAGAGGTCAAGAACCTCCTGCTGCCCCGCTGCTGAGTTATGAGACTTCCTGAGCCTCAGTTTTTTCATCTATAAAATGGGAGCCCTGGGTTCACTTTGCCCAGCTGGGACTCTGCTTGGTGTCACCTCCTTCCAGAAAAACTCCCCAACCTTAGGGTCTGAATTAGAGGCTCCTCATCTGTGTCCCCACAGTTCTCCCTTTCTGGTTATTTCCCTGTTGGTCCCCCACCTCTACCCATCACTGGCCTGGGAGTTCCTAGAGGGCTGTAACAGAGGCTGAATCACCCTGTGTCCCAGGACCCAGCACATCCAGGATGCAGATTCCTGCCCCTGCTCGCTGATGCTGATTCAGCAGGACTAGAATAGGATTCTGGAATGTGTATTTTAAGAAATCCTCCAGGGATTCTGAGATTGATCATCTTTGGACTCGGTAGTCAGGAAGACTTCCTGGAGGAGACGATATCTAAGCTGAACACTTTGTGATCCAAGCTGCTCTCCTCCCTGTCTTGGGAAGACTTCTTGCACTCTCCCACCCCCTCACCTGTGCCTAGCAGTGCCACCCCCTGCCCCGTCCTCTCCATCGGCTCCCATCCTGCTTCTCGTTTCAGGAACGCACCGCAGCCTGAAGGAAGAAGTCCTCGAACTCTGCATGGGCTTTCTCCACTGTCTCCAAGCTTCCGTCCTTGGGGGTCAGCACCTGCAGGCACCGGTTTCCTTCCTGCTCTATCCAGTTGCTGACCTGGGGCAGGGGAGGGAGGTTTGCGCATGAGGGGCTACTGCAGAGACATCCATTGGCCAGCTACCCGCCTTCCTGGGAGGCTGAGGTCTTCCTGTCCTCAGTCATTCAGGGGCTAGACCTGTGCCCACTGGCCTGGACTGAAGTGCTCCCAATTCTGGGGAGGAGAAGAGAAGAGACAGCTGGGGGAGGGTGTGCACTGTCATGTTCTTCAAATAACTCAAGAAGAGAGGGTTCCCTAAATGGGACCCTAGAAAGCCAGAGCCATGTGCATAGTAGGCCCTCCATGCATACTTGTCAGAATGAAGTCACAGGATGGCAAATTCGGGCTGACTCTAACCACTGAGTGCTGCCCAGCCATAAGAGGGCAGCCTCAGGCGTGATGAGCTCCCTGTCCCTAGGGGCATGCAAACAGCAAGA